GGAATGAATTGTGTGTCCCTCATCACGGTGACAAGGGGTGGGCAGGCATTGCCGATGGGGGGTGCTAGCGCCGAGCAATGGCCAGTCACTGCACCTCCCCCTACCCCCCCCCAACCCCACATGGCGGTGTCTAATGGCCAATATTGTTGCTGCATAGCAGCCAACAACATCAGCCAAGGTCCTGCCAATGCTGGCTTGGGGGCCCAACGGGTTCCTTTTCACATTTCGAGAGTGGTGGGGCGAGGCTGACTGACAAGGTAATTGAATTGGCTGGGCTTCAAAGAATTAGCCTTTAATAAAAATAAAAATAAAACATTTAGAGGGACGTGCTACCGTCTTCCCCCGAACACAACGCACCGTCATTTTGGCTGTACCGCACCGTAAATATAGCTTGTATACATTCATTTTCACGGTGCGTTATGTTCGGGGGAGGACGGTAGGCGATGTGAGCATGCACGTGAGTGACGCCCCGGTTAGAATTATTTAGAGGGGGGCTGGCCTGCCTGGATGGCGACGGGATCCCGTCCTTCTGGTCCACGCGGCAGAGCCACTCTGGCCCGCGGGCCGGGGGAGGGGAGGGCGGGGGCGGCGGGCGGGGTTTGGGGGGGGGGAAATCGCGACGGTCCCTGATCCCCGCGATTCGGACTGCGCGGAAGGCTCGAACGCAGGAGCCCGCGGAGGCGCCAGGGAGGTGGAGAAGAAGGGCCTACCTGCGGAAGACGACTGACGTCAGGACCGTGCCAATAATGTGGGCAGATCCCAAAACAAAAAAACAAAAAAACCGAAAAAAACAAAACAAAAGGTAGGCACGTACATCTCAGAGACAGATAAATGTCGAGAAGAAGTTTGGAAATCAAAAGGGTATAGGCAGGGGGCTGAAAATTGCCGTTGCAGTTTTTGTGGCGAAGCGCCCTGTCCCCTGTCTTCACCCCCCCCTTCCCCCCTCTTCCTCTCTCTCTCTTCCCCTCGGCCGCTGCTGCTGCTATTGCCGTTGCGGTCTCGGGTTTCGTTCTAACGCCTTCCGTTAGCCTCCGTTAGCCGGTTCCTTCGTTCCCCGTTTGGTGCGCCAAGGGGGACTGCCGGAGAGTGTGTGTCGGGATCTCTGGTCAGTTCGTGGTTTTATTAATTATGGGGTTGGAATACGTGGGGGACGGAGCGCATTCGTCGCGCGGGTCGGGATCTCGGGGCGGTTTAAGCCAACCGTCATGCATCTTCGCGGCGGGATCCCTACGGCCGGATGACGACAGCGGGATGCCTTGGACCCGTTTCTTCCACAGAAGGACAGAGTGCTCCAGAGCTGTGTTGCAAGGAGCGAGGCTATACCAGTACGAGGTAGGTAGGAAGAGCTCTCTTTTTTTTATTTTTTTCGGGGTTTTATTTCTTTTTTATTATTATTTTTTAATAACAACACAGTAATCATGTGTTTGTGATCATCCACTACAATTATATTTATTTTTATTTATTTTTTGTAACAGTTTTAATTAAAAAAGGCTAATTAGTATTATATATATCGTCAATCGAAATTGCGAAGATCTGCATTGATTAAGAAATGGAACGAAGAGTACGCTTGGCAGAAGTCAGCATAAAAAAAAAAAGCTAGGATAACGAAAAGGTAGGAAGAAGTTAAACAAAACAAAAAAAAAAGAAAAAAAAGAAAAAAAAAGAGAAAGAAAAAAAGAAAAGAAGTCAGCATATCCCCATTGACATTCTCATCGGCACGTACTTGTGCCTTCGACGCCCTCTATCTCTTTTCTCCCCTCTTAAGGAGTAGTTGCACCACTCGCTATCCGCCCAACATCTTGAATGCATCTGGACAGACATGTTGTCCAGACGGATTCAAAATCTTGGCCGATGGCGAAGTGGTGTAACCAGGCCCGTCAGTCCCTTGCCTACACGACACGATTTTTTTTTTTTTTTTTTCCACTCACCCATTTTGAAAAAGAAGTGGGGACAACACGATCAAATCAACTCACCCATTTTGAAAAAGAAGGGGGGGGGGGGACAGCTCTGTCAACGCACGCATTTGCGCACCCCTCCTCCTGCGTATCGTTCTTTGAATGCGCAGGAGCCATGGCTGGCTAATCTTCTCTGTGTGTATCGGTCGAATTTAACATGTCGACTGGTTTCTCGATGGGCGAGCTGGCATCTTTCCTCTTCTCAAATAATATGTCACAGCCCCTCGTTTGTTGTCCTCTTCTCTCTCTCTGCCTACGGTTTTACCGGGCAGTTCTGTTTGTGACGATATATATATATATTGTCATACACATCTAGATGTGTATAAGAGACAGGTGTGTGTGTGTGTGTGTGTGTGTGTGTGAGAGAGAGAGAGAGAGAGAGACACACACACACATACACATCCCATCGAAAAAAATCGGAACGAATCGTTCGCGTGTGTGTGTGACAGCCAAGGAAATGGCCAGCACTTAGCATGGAATTCTGTTCGCGCTCGGCTAGCTGGCGGAGACGATCGGCTTCTTTATTTGACCCATGAAGAGTATTATACTGACACGGAGGATCCTGAAGATACAGATGTGGATAAAGAAGAGAGCATAAGTGTAAGATCTGACGTGGATGAAGGAGATGGATCTTACGATAATTGGACAGAAGGAAAAAATTGCAAAAAAATGGAGTAATCAAGCGGGAGGAGCAGGAGTTATGGTGGGAAAAGCGATATATAGAAATGATGGGAAAGCTTCTCCCGCTCCTCCCCCTCCTTCCCCCCCTAATAACCGATCCTGATTCTCCTACTTCCCTTCCCCCCCCTGCTTTTCCTCCTAATCCCCATCCCAATTCTCCTACTCCCCCGCCTCCCCATCCTCTCGATTCCGCGCCATCTACCTGTCTCTTATACACATCTAGATGTGTATAAGAGACAGGGCTTAGACCCTGGGGTAGGGGTAGGGGTATAAGTCGCTCAGGCCAGTCCGAGTTCCGCCTGGCCTTGGGTAAGATAGGGGAAGGACGGTAAGAC